AAAAGCATGGATAAACCTCCTTCTGATGCTGAAGAATTGATGCTTTTGAATTGTGGTGCTGGAGGAGACTCTTGAGAGTCCCCTGGACTGCAAGGAGATCAAACCTATCCGTTCTGAAGGAAATCAACCCTGAGTGCTCACTGGAAGGACAGATCCTGAAGCTGAGGCTCCAATCCTTTGGCCATCTCATGAGAAGAGAAGACTCCCTGGCAAAGATCCTAATGTTGGGAAAGTGTGAAGGCAAGAGGAGAAGGGGACGACAGAGGAAAAGATGGATGGACAGGGTCATCGAAGCGACCAACATGACTTTGACCCAACTCCGGGAGGGAGTGGAAGACAGGAGGACCTGGCGTGCTCTGGTCCTTGGGGTCATGAAGAGTCGGACACGACTTAATGACTAAACAAACAACAAACCTTTTCTGAGCACTCTCCACCTAGAAAACCTTAAAAAGGGCTACCCTATGTCAGAATTGACTTGATGACAAATGATTAATTAGACACGTCCAAACCCACTTATAATTTCAAACCAAGGCTGGTAAAAAATGTATGATGTGTCATAGAAGTCCCCCCCCCCAATTGTTATGTACCTGACACTGAACGCAACCAGTTGTTGCTGTTGTTATCCTACATGATCTCACATCAGCCCAGCGGATTCTCTTGCTCCGTAATAGACAGACCTGCAAAACTGTAACGAATGATGCCCTTCTAAGAACTGACATGCAGTAGGAAAGATACGATGGGCCGTTGTTTTATTTATACTGACGACTGCCTCTAGGTTTTCCTAGCGCAGAAGGGACTGAGAGTAATTTGAGAGAGGAATTCTCCTCCTCCTCTGTTTGAAAAAGGGTGGAATATATAAACCAGTCCTGGGGTTTATGGTTTGACAATTCCCGGGCACCCTTCCATCTGTGTGTTTAATTTTATCCTTCACTTCATGGGGGTGGTTGTAATGCATTAATCACCCCATTTGTATGCGTTCGCTCCCTCCCTCCCTCCCTCTCATTCTTCCCACATTACAAATTCTGTTAACGAGTTCAGGGGACTGGAGCATCCTTAGATCAGAACTATCTCTCCCCATAGGCATTGTAAGAAGTTAGGCATTGTTTAAAATCCTTGTGAAGAAGCAGGTTTTGACACTTTGGGAACAGGCGAACACTCAGCCCACTTAAGGCAGAGAAGCCAGGGTTAATCCAAAGCACAATAAATAGTGTGTTTCCACAGTTTCAAAACATTACATTTAGGAGGGGGGGTTCTGGATGCTAGAATCCCCCAGCCTGCATGGCCGGCAGGAAAGCTGTAGGAATGACATCTTCCACCTCAAAACTCTGTTTTTTTCCTGATAATGCCTATTCTAATTCAGCCAAGCGCTGGTGGTCTGCTGAGACTGGGAGCCAGGAAGGCCCGTAGCTTTAATTAAAATATGAGCTGTCAAAGCAGGTTGTTAAAAAGAAATTGGACTTGTGCAGATAGTATTGATGCTGCAATTTTGCCAGGATTAGACTCACAACACCCAACCACCCAGGTACACAAATGTGCACGCATACGCTTTTCGGCTTGACTGGCTGGAGGCGTGATCTATCTCCATGTCAGGCGGGACTGTTGTGTGACATAGACGTGACAGAGCCACGTTCTTTAAAAAGCCCATACGCTGCCACTTGAGATGGGGTGCATTTGTCGGGGTGACTTCCTTCCTGTCTCTGCATTATTCAGATCTCAAGGTGTGTGCAACCCATCAACCCCCACACAGGTGTGTCATCATGCTTGCCCAGTGTGTGCCATGCCCCTTAAACTCTTGATTTTGGAATTGTTGTGGATCAAATGCTGAAGATGAGGCAACAGTGTGATGCAGCTGCAAGAAAGGCAAATGCGATTTTAGGATGCATTAACAGAAATACAGTCTCCAAACCCCATGAAGTACTAGTCTCCTTCTGTTCGGCACTGGTTAAGCATCATCTAGAGTCCTGCGTCCAGTTCTGGACGACACACTTGAAGGAGGACGCCAATAAACTGGAACAAGTTCATGGGAGGGCAAGAAGGATGATCAGGGGATTGGAAACCAAGCCCTCTGAGGAAAGACTGGAAGAATTGGGCATCTTTAGCCTTGACAAAAAAAGAAGAATGAGAGGAGATAGGAGAAGACTTTTCAGATATTTGAAAGGCTGTGATACAGAGGAGAGGCAGGATCCATTCTCGATCATCCCAGAGTGCGGGACATGTGATGATGGGCTCAAGCGACAGGAAGCCAGATCTCAGCTGAATATCAGGAAAAACTTCTTAACTGTTAGAGTAGTATGACAATGGAACCAATTACCTCAAGAGGTACGAGTCTATGGTTCTTCTGAAACAGGCAGGGAGAAAGCCACGTATATAATGGGACAGACTAGTAACTGAAAATTTTTGGAATGCTGCTGTTTGTTTATTTTTATATGCTGCATTTTCCCTCATAGGGGACCCAAGGTGGCTCACAACAGATAAAATGAGATTTAAAAGCACTATATCAATGCCACATTTTTTAAAAAAAACTATTAAGCATACATTGAGATTTTAAAAATCAAGTATAAATACAATTTAAAAATATTTAAGAACCTGTAAGTTAAAAAGCAGAATTCCTGAGGTAAGTCTTCCTTGGACGCAAGCCACGAACTAGAGCTTGAAGAAGTTATTTTTTATAATCATCATGATCTTAGAACGGCTCAGTTGGAAGGGACCCTCTGGGATCATAAGGTCCTGTCCATGTCAAGGAGTCCGCGCGGAGGAATTGAACTCCCAACCTCTAGCTTTGCAGCCAGAGATGTAAACCACTGAACAACCCAGCCATTCTGGGGGTTGTACAGCTCCAAACCCACCCCTTCTTAGTATTCTAGTGGATTCTGGGAACTATAGTCCATTCGAGAAAGTTTTCCGAGCTTTGGGACAGGGGGAAACCTAGCCTGGCTCCCGTCTGGTTTTTCTTGTTGCTCTTTTGGCCACCGGCCACCAAGCAGAAATCATCCTCATCCGCGTGCAGTTGTTTTTCCAGTCCATTGGTGACCCCAGAGTGAAGTCAAGGGGGTGAATCGGCAGCCGCAGCCGGGAGAATCCGAGATTATATTTCTGAAGTCCATTAGCAAGGGGGAACAGCCAGTCTGTAAAAATGTTTTACATTTCTGGTGGTAAGAGTCTGCCAGAAACCCATCGGGTTTCTCCGGATGGGCTGCGGAGTCTTCTTTTGCTGGTCTTCCTCCGACTAATTCTCCCCCAGGCTGTGGAAAAACGATGGAGGCATGTTCTCAATAAAAGGATGGAGGTGATCATCTTACGGCCGAAAGCTGCACGTCAACTCTGGTTGAGAGCTCCCAAGACGAGGACATACAACCGCAGGCTCATTAAACCCTCAGAAAAAGAGACGGTGTTTGTGTGTTATAAGACAAGGGGCTTCTGGGAACACCAGGATCCGATCCTGCTTTCCTAATGTTGTTCCTGGCATCCGCCCAGGGGGAAAAAAAAATAAAAGCAACTAAATTTTCACGGGAATTTCTGAAAGAGGAGACCTGCTACCGTGCATTTGGTTGTTTATTTATTCGTTTCTTTCTTTCTTGGTGAAAAATCAATGCTCCGCTTTTTAAAGGAAGCCTTAGGAAATGGCTTGAAGGAATTTTAGAAAGAAATCTTCTGCTATAGCCATTAAAAAATTAAGCACAAGCCAAAACACTAAAACAGTTTAAAATGGCACCACATTTTAAAAACACCGTGCTCTCTTAAATCAAAAGCGGGGGAAAGGGAAGAGGTTTTTGATGTGCGTGTAAAATTTTTCCAATAACGAGGCCACAATGACTTCCGGGAGGATCGCAGGGCGGGAGGGTGGTGGATGAAATTCCAGCGATGGAGTGCCTCGGTTCCAAGGTCTTTCTGATGGCTCCACACATGCCAGTTTTCAAACGGGTCACTTGTGCGCCCTCCGAAAGCAAGCCAAGAGAGAATTTCCCTTTGTATCAAGCTGAGCGCACTCCATTTTATGAACAGATGCAAAATTAGGTTTAAATATTTGCATAGAATTGCAACTCATTTCACTCAAGTGGAAACTAGGTGACTTTCGTGTCCGCTGCTGAGTCTGGCGTGCGGGTATCTCTTGGTGTGTGAAAAGGAGGTCCTTGATTTGCCCCCAGTAAGGATGGAATTAGAGATGATTGGAGGCTATTCATTTAAAGATTTATTTAAACCACAGGGGATTCCTGCTAGTGGAAGGACGGTAAAGATGGGCCGGGGCCGGGCTGGCCTCCAGTGGGAGGGAGTTCCAAAGTTTGGGAGCTGCCACTGAGAAGGCCCTCTCCTGGGTCCCCACCAAGCGCACCTGTGAAGGTGGTGGGATTGGCAGAAAGACCTCGTCTGATGATCTTAACACCTGAGCAGCTTCCTAAAGGGAGACACGGTCCTTGAGATGGCCATTGAGGGCTTTATAGGCTAAAACCGGCACTTCAAATCTTGCCCGGAAATGGATTAGCAGCTCGGATAATGTTTGTGTGTCTGTTCTATGAGTCTTGTAACCAGACCGTTTTGTACCTGCTGAACTTTCCCAACATTTTCCAAAGGCAGACCCACCTAGAGTGTGTGACAGTATTGTGGTTTATAAGGGAATGAGATCCATGAAATGAAGGCTTATAGATGGGAATCTTTAGAACGCGTCCTCTTTTTGGGGGTGGGTCTCCGTTTTTCCATTAGAGTTGGACTGTGGACTGCTTTTCAGATGGAAGAATGCCTTTAAAAGAGAGGACTGTCATCCCTAAAACAGGACATGCAGCTGTCTTCAGGATTCAAAAGAAAAGCCCGAAATTCATGTCTGATCTTCCCAGCGCGGGCCCATCCCTAGGAGTGACTCATGTCCATTTGCAGAGAGAGGGACGCAAGACCACGGAGCCTGCTGAAATTCATAAGCCTTGTCGGTTGCCTGAAATTTGAATGTAAAGGGTGACTCATTAGTTCTCCCAACCGGCAGTGATTAATCTGTTTTTACTCTCTTTCAGGTTGAATTCTCGAAGGAACAGATTGACGGTAAGGAATGATTTTTCCCTTCAAGTTCTACAGTTTGATGATGATGATGATTTTCTTAACCATTCCAGTTTAAGTCATGATGAGAAACGACTAAAACCTGAATTTAGGGGGGGGGGTGCCTTTTAATAACAACAGGAAAAGTAATAATAATAGAATAGCTCAATGCTCAAATCATTTGAATGAAACACATCGGCTACACTAGAATTTGGAGTTGTTGCCTTCTTGTTGAATGACAATTTGTGGCTGGTTGGGGGATTCTGGGAGCTGTGGTCCACGGCAGCAGGGCCTGGCGTTTCTTACAGGGCCTGGCGTTTCTCCACCGATTTGGGAAATCCAGTTACCTTCTCAGGTTGTAGAATCAGCTGACCGCACTCAGACCTATAGGGAAGCTTACAGGTCAACCTTTCCCTATAGAGACCAATGGAAGTGGCTGGTCAAAGGAGCAGGATGCACAGAGATAACAGATGTCCTGAAGGCTGGCTGGTGGAGACTGTTGCAGAGTCGAATGTTGATTAAATTTCCTCTAGCTGTGTGGCAGAAGTGCAAGGACCTACAGAGCAGAATCAGTTTTGAGTCTCCTCAGAGTAGATCACTCCTTATTGTCTCATCAACTGGCACTTACAGTTTCAATAATTCATTCTTAACATTGGTAAGAGAAAGAATAAAATGGTTTCATTTACTCACAGTTGAACAGATCGAAAACAGCGTGTGGTGCAAAAAAAAAAAAAAGGACTGGTAGTAGAAATATTCCCAGACTTTGGAAAACCTATTTGCTTCATTAGAACTCCCAGAATCCAGCAGTCAGAGTGACTGCTCAAAAGGTTGGCTGGGGAATTTTGGGGCCGTCGTTCACAAAAAGTAATTCCTGCAGTAAGGCAGACCAAGCCGACAGTATAAAAACCCCATGGGGCAATAATATAAAATCAGCTTTAAAAATTAAAATTTGGATTACATCTACCAAACCCCTTTTATCAGGAGTTCTGGGAGCATTACTCAAAAAAAAACAAAAAAAAAACAAAAAACAAAAAACAAAAAACAAAAAACAAAACAAAAAAAAACCCAAAAACGTTTCCATGTTCTGCTGAAAACCTAAACCCTAAAAATAATGTAGGAATCTGTTCTAGTTTTCATGCAAGGAAAGATGTGTTCCAAACTTCCCTTGAAAAATCTGAGAGGCCAAATGTGCTTCCAGCACCATGTTGGACATGTGTGGAGCACATATGTTGCATTAATATATGGCCAGCCCTCTCCCGCGGCACACAGTCTCTCTCTCTCTGAATTTGACAGTCAAAATATGAAACTGTGCATTTCCAGATGTCCTTTCTTTGCATTAAAACAAAATTGAAAAACCCCTCCCTCGCTCGCTTTCATTAAATTCGGAACGGATGGGGTATCAGGACGCAGTCCCTTCTCTTTCTGCATGAGTTGAGGCTTAGGAGTTTATATATTTATTTATAATCCGTATGTTTCAGCATCTGCTGGGCGGGTGGCAGGTGGACTTGGAAACAGATCCCCTCCAGATACAGGGTTCTATTGTAAAACTAGAAGTTAGAAAAAGTAACTTCTCAATATCCCCAATCCCCTGTCCCCTGGCAGCAATTCTGGAAGCTATTGTCCCGTGAAGTAACTTTAATCCGACCTGTTCCTTCTTTTTCAAATGTAACTTCATTACAAAGATACTCTAAGAAGTAGTGAGTTCAAAGTAACTGCCTTCATTGTAAGATGTCTATTGAAAGCTCTGGGAGGTCTTTATGGTGCTTTTTTTCATGCTTAACAATCATAACTTGTTACCTTTTTGACAATCATCACTGAGTCAATGAGTGCTGTTTTTAGTTGGGTTTTTAACATTTTAAATGTTTTAAATCATTCTGTCTATTTTAATTGCTATTATAGGTTAATGTAGAAGTTACTGTGTTTTAAATTATACTCTTTTGAACACTGGGAGCTGCCCTTGACCCCACTTATTGGGAGAAAAATGGCCTATAAATAAGAGAAATAAATATATCAATGTCTAAGCCTCAACCCATGCGGGAATAATAATAATAATCTCAGAACTGCAGAGCTGGGAAGGACCCTGTGGATAATCATGTCCAGCCCCTGTTAAGGAGGCACCGAAGAGGAATTGAACTCCCAGATGTCTAAAACAACCACTGAGCTATCTAGCAGACACAGATATAGTTTCATGTTTTGGTTCTTGACTGGTAAAAATATAATTTATAGATCCCAACAAAGGACAAATTTACAGTGGTGCCTCGCTAGACGATGATAATCCGTTTCACTGAAATAGCTGTCTAGCAAAATCATTGTCTAGCGAAAAGCAAATTGTCATCTAGCGAAAATCGGTTCGCGAAGCAGGGACCAAACATTGTCCAGCGAAATTCCCCCATAGGAATCACTGTTTTGCAAATCGCTATAGTGATCGCAAAAAGTCAATGTCTAGCGAAAAAACTGTCATGTGGGGTAACTGTCTAGCGAGGCACCACTGTATATCAGAGGTGAAGTTTCCAAAATTGATCATTCCCTGAGTCTTCAGGAGAATTTGATCAGCTCAAACGGCCTTGGTTGATACCGAACCCTTTCACCTCTCCTTTCAAATCATGGCCAGCATCAACCCACAGTCTGCGGTCGAAGGCTGAACTTTCTCTGACAGTGCGACAGAAGCCCAGGGACCATGTGAATCCTGCTGACAAGGTTTTTCTAATAATGATAGGCTGGGAGAAAGCCGGAGGACCGGCCACAGTTCAACATGGGTGTGTTTGTTCAGCTGCCGTTAGGGGGAAGTGGCTGTTATCCATGCCGTCCTGTACCCACAGGAGAATAAGAGGCCTTCCTGTTGGGATGCTTTTGCAGACCGGGGAATGAAAATTTAAAAAGGGGGCATTTCTGTACACCTGGCAAAGAGGGCTTCATCAAAGAGTCTGTAATGGCAGTGCAGGGTGTATGTGTACGAATTATAGAAAATCTAGAACAATTGAGTTGGAAGGGGCCTGTAAGGCCATTGAGTCCAACCCCCTACTCAAGACAGAAATCCAAGTCAAAGCAGATGTAACTGATGGTTGTCCAATTTTCTCCAGCGTTGTGACTGATGGTTGTCCAATTTTCTCCAGCGTTGGAGTGCTCACCACCTCCCGAGGTCATAGGTTCCGTTGTCATACTGCTCTAACAGTTAAGAAGGTTTTTTTCCCCTGATGTTCAGCTTAAATCTGGCTTGCTTGATCTTGAGCCCATTATTATGTGTCCTGCACAGATTAAAAATGGCAGCTTTTAGTGGGTTGAAATAGTTCCTCAATCAATGAAAAGCTTTCCGTTTCACATGGCACAGCCATTTCTGAGGGCAAAGGTAACTGCAGTCACTTTTAATGGCTAAGCAAAGTTTTTTTTTAAAATCTCTCTCTTCTTGGCTTGTTATTTCTGTTTATTGGCTCAATCGGATGGGTGGTCCTGATCAATATGAGAACACAGGCAGCTGATGTCATTCTCCTTTCCGGATCAATCTTACGGGTGTTTCCCATCATCATTATCATCTTAGAACTGCAGAGGTGGAAGAGATTGTATGGGTCATCTAGTCTTGCCCCGTCAAATGAGGCTCAGTATGGAATTGAACTCCCAGCCTCTGGCTCTACAGTGGTATTGAACTCCCAGCCTCTGGCTCTACAGCCAGATGCCCAAACCATTCAGCTATCCAAGCTAAAAACTAGTTCACAATGAGAGACAGGACCAGGCTCTTGGCTGTGTCCCTTCAGAGTGAGGATGGCTTGTTCTCAGGATGGGTGTGTGTGTCCTCTCTCTGAAATTTTGGGCAAGGTTGGGGGGTGTCCTCTCTCTGAAATTTTGGGCAAGGTGTTATCCCATCCTATTATGCAAGCCACCCATGTCTCAAAGTGCAAGGCTCATGTGATCACACCGTTCTCCGTACCCTTCCCATGCCCTTCCAGTTGGAACCAATTATCTCGAGAGGTGGTGAGCACTCCAACGCTGGAGGCCTTCAAGAGAAAACTGACCATCCTCTGTCAGATCTGCTTTGATTTGTATTCCTGCATCAAGCTGGGGGTTGGACTTGATGGCCTTAGGGGCCCCTTCCAACTCCATGAGTCTATGATCCTATGATACTGCACCTAGAAATGCCGTACGGACCCTGAAGGTTTTGCTTGATCCTTGGTCTTGATTTGCTAGCCGTGAATAGGAATGAAAAGGGCACCTATAGTTATTATACATTAGCAGACCTGCTTTTGTCTGGATCTTGTGCGAGAGAACTAGGAATGTCAAGAACTTTTTGCAAGAATAACTTTGGGAGCAAATGACAAGGTGAGGTGTTGTGCAAACCCCCAAATATCTGCTGCATTGTGTTATAGACTTTGAAAAAACAGAAGCACTGGATGGTTTGCTTGTATCTTTTGACCTGTTGGCCAGTATTGTTATGCTTAGTCTCTCTCTCTCTCTCTGTCTCTCTGTGCACTTATGCTTGGCTTCACAAAAGAGAAAATAAACCCAGTAAATTTGCTTTGAGATGTCTTGCGCAAGATGCAGGCAAGTTAATGGGAGATAGGGAGGAACTACCCTTGTCTTGTTCTGGAGAAGAAGAAAAATCTTAGAAGAATTAATGAGTACCGTATTTTTCTGTGTATAAGACGTGCAAGATGCAGGCAAGTTAATGGGAGGTAGGGAGCAACTACCCTTGTCTTGTTCCGGAGAAGAAAAAATTCTTAGAAGAATTAATGAGTACTGTATTTTTCTGGGTATAAGACGCCCCCCTTTTCTAACCCAAAATTAAGAAAATTAATAAGTGGAGGGAAAGCAGCGATCAAAGCCCTGCAGGATCACTTTGATCCCTGCTTTCCCCTCCACTTGGTTTTGTTCTCTCCTCAGCTTACGTCTGTGTATAAGACACCCCTCAATTTTTAGTCTAAAGATTTTAGACAAAAGTATAGTCCTATACACGGAAAATACAGTACTTGGCAGGTTATACCCATGAGTTGAGGCAAAGCATGGATCTGGTTGAAAACAAGGAATTTAGCTAGATTTCTTCAAATGGCAGCTTGCAGGAGGACAGCACAGGCACAGACAGACCATCTCACTGACAACTCATGTTGCATTCAAGAATTTGAAATGCTGATGAGTTCACAATGTCGCCAGAATGTTTGAAACAGAGATGCTTCGGAGGTAACGTGAGGTTTGTTAACTTTCGTCCAGAAGGTTGTCTCTCTCTCTGTCTCTCTCTGCTGGAACGCCTCCAAGATCTGTCTCTGAGATGGCTGTTCTCTTAATTCCTAATTGTTCCTAGATTATACAAATTATACAGAGAATGACCCGACCTGACCCTTTCCACTCTTCTCGTTTCCCCATGAAGTCCAAAGCCGAAAGAATGCAAACATATCTGATAACAGCATCAACAGCAAAGTTCGTCCAACTTGTCCTGTTTGGAAACCAAACCAAAACACAAGGATCTCATGGAATGCTGGGTTGACTGTCATCTGGGCCATTGACTTGGCCTTCAACTCCTTCATAAAGTCAAATGGCCATGTTTTAAACTAACTTCCTTCCTTTTTAGACTATTCAAGGGAAAGTTTGTCGGGGCAGGAAAAACATTCTCTTTTTCCCTACTATTGATGCCGTCAGCTTACTCAACAAAGGTGTAACGTCTGCCATCCAGACATGACAGAGACTGTTGTTTTCATGATGGTCTTCTTCTCTGCTTGCTCTCCAGAGTTCAAGGAAGTCTTTGAGCTCTTTGACCGCACTCCCAAGGGTGAACAGAAGATCACCTACGCGCAGTGCGGAGATGTCCTGAGGGCCTGCGGCCAAAACCCCACTCAGGCTGAAGTTCTCAAGGTTCTCGGAAGGCCCAAACCAGACGGTGAGAATTTCCGTATTCTGTTCTCCTGCCCACATGTCCTCATGGGCCATTTCTCAGTGAGCTGTGGGCTTTTCTGGCCATCTCAGAGAACGCACCTTGTCCCTTGCTTTTAGTCCAGAACCTCCAATTCACAATATACTGTACATCTGTTTCAGAGCTGGGCAGAGCTGGGTGTTCGGATGACAGCTCCAAGAATTGTCTGGAATTCTCCAGTTCTCCCCCACTTGCTCAGCACACAGTCTGTTTATATTCAGCGGTTGTGACCTTGATCAAAATGACCTAAACGTATGATCCTGTGCCATGCCAGGAGAATATAAGCGTGGCCTTGATAAACCGTTCTCAAAACCCATCCAGTCCAAGACTCTTATGTTAAAAATGACCCTCTAAATGCCCTGGTGGTTTCTGGCCCTGCTTAGTCCCTTGAGACCAGGGGCCCTGGGGCCACCACTGATTTTCCCTTGTTGTTTATCCACTCCTTGGAAACAACCATCCCTGATTGTTTGTCCTCTAAGGGAGAAACAGCTCTGATGGGATATATGTCAGGCAAGCACGGTAAGGCTACAAGTGGTGTACGTTTGCTCTAATATGCGTTTGCTCCTTTTCTCTCTTGTTCAGTGGTACCGTTTCAACCTTCCATCAGCACCCCCTTTTCTTGTATGGCCCATGATGTTAAAATACCTCAAAACCAGTAGTTCCCAGTCTTTTTCAAGGGAAACACAGTCAGGACCCCCTTTTAGAATAGCCAAATGACCTGGAAATCTGCCCCCAGTTGAATTTTTAAAAAGGTATTTTTAATAGGGTCAGGTCATCCTTTCTCAGAAAGCAGAGACTTCTCTCTCCCCCAAAGGGCTTGTTCTACATACACACTAACTTTAATATCCCACTCTGAATGGTCAAGGAAGAAAGTATATATCAAGAGATAGAACACATATAAGGCCATCCATGACCTATGAAATACAGGTTGGGAAAAACCACTCTAAACATTCAAAATCAGCATTGCACACTGAGCGTGTCTGAGAACGTTCTCCCTGGCAAGCTTGTTTTGTAGGTTTAAGAAGCGCCTGACCCACACAAGTGTCTGGGGACACCCCATGGGTCACCCTCAGACTGAAGTGGATCTGCCCTACAACCGATAAATCATCCTGGATGACCACCTCTCTGTTTTGGTGTTCCAAGGGGGCTGGCGGTCATTTGTCAAGAGGATGGGAGTAGAGGAAAGCTTGGACAGGGTACTCAACCTCACTTGACGTCCTTTCCCCCCTTTCCCCCATTTGTCCGGTGACAGAGATGAACCACAAAATGATCGACTTTGATACTTTCCTGCCAATGCTCCAGCACGTTGCCAAGACGCAAGAAACCGGGACGTTTGAGGATTTTGTGGAAGGCCTGAGGGTTTTCGACAAGGAAGGCAACGGGACGGTCATGGGAGCCGAGCTCCGCCATGTTTTGGCTACATTGGGTAAGGGGATCCAAGAGTCATAGCTGTGGGGCCAATCAGGCTTAGATTGGGGAAATGTAATGGAGGCCACTGGGTCCATTTTTGTGGGGTAGTGAATCCGTTTCGGGTTTTCATCCGAACTATGAAGCCGCTGTCCATGGTGCTTCACCATTTGGGTGGATTGGATTCAACATGCTAGATAGTTTTTGTAAAGTATGGGCTAAGACCTAGAGCAGTATTAACACCCTCTATTTGGGGGGGGGAGTGTTGTGATAGTTTGTGCTACACACTTTTTTTTAAAACCTCTATTACAGTACCAAGACCCAGGTCTAGTTAGGGTAGACACACTGGCATTTATTTTTTCAATGTGAATTGTTAGACATGAGAACTAACTGAAGCCCCACCAATTTCAATAATAGGGTGTATATTCTTATTGTGGTCGAAAACACTGGACTTCTCAAAAAGTCAGAACTGGGGAAACATGTTCGTAATATCATATATTTAACCAACGAGAAATCTCCTTAAGAAAACATGTGCAGTTTTCATGGGAGAAGCCTCGTGTCCTTTGAAAGGGTTGCTCAGGGACGGTAATCGTGAAAATCCGGAGACAGAACGACAAACGTTGACTTGGAGATGAAGCTTGACGGGTTGAGCGATTGTGTTCTTTTGCACCTAGGGAGCTAAGAGAGGCTTTTGATCTGCTCTCTCGGGTCTAATACAATTCATATGTACATTTCCAAGTTCCTTTGTGCAGCCTAAAATACCAAAAGCGGGTGGTTCCAATCCGGATGATTTCTCCTCCTTCCACTTTGAAAATGCCAACTATTGTACAGATTTGTTTGGGTTGAAATTAGAGATGGGCATGAACCGAACTCTGGACTGGTTTAAAAAAAAACACCATGAGCCGGGCTGGTTTGGTTGGTGCAAACCCTTTTGCCAAAATGAAACAAAACACCAAACTTTTTCCCCACTTGGCACATTGCTTTGCTTGCGCATAACGGATGCCCACCTGCCGCCTTCCGGCGGGCATTTGTCACCTCCTTACCGGGTCCTGCCTCCTCCTCCTCTTTCTCCCCTGCCACCACCACCTTCAGAGACAGCTGCTCGGCTTCCCTTTCAAGAGCCAGATCTGTGGTCTCTGTGCATGTGCACACCTACTAGCCGACAGATGTGTGCATGCACAAAGACAGTAGCTTGGCTCCTGGAAGGGAAGCCGGGCAGGTGCCTCTGAAGATGGCAGGGAGGATGAGGAGACAGTGGAAGAGATGGCAAGACCAGTTTGAGCAACGATGGGGGCAGTGGGAAGGGGGTGGGTGGGTAGAGGCCGCAGGTTCCCGTCCCCACCCACCCTGGCATGAAATGGAAAAAACTAAACCACGAACCTGTTCATTTTTCTGGAGATTCGGGGGTGATTCGTCATTCGTCGATAGCCGCGAACCACGAACCACCACAAACTGCCGGTTTTCTGGGTTTTGTGCTGAAATCCCCAGTCCCATCAAACATGCAAGGCTGTGTCCCAGCAGTGATGTCGTAAGCATGTCCAAACTTTCTTGATTGATAGACAGGACGAGACAGGGGCCTGTTGTTGTAAACATTCTGACAATTTTTTTTAAAAAAAAATCTCAATAGCATAAACAGGACTTGCAAGGCACGAACACCCTTTTATCATTCAGGCTGCGGAGTTTGTGAGATCAAGCAAGACTTTCATGTCCTTTCCTTCTGCTCTAGGAGAACGCCTGAGTGAGGAGGAGGTGGATAAATTGATGGCCGGCCAGGAAGATTCGAATGGTTGCATCAATTACGAAGGTAAAAGCCCACGGAAAGTAGCATCTTAGAAGTGATTTATTCCCATTACTTAGTAGTGTTGCTACAGAAATTCATTGCTACGGCAGTGTTAACTTCAAACAGTTATTTACTTCATCGCTGAGTGCATTCCAGCTATTTTCCCATCATGTTTTAAGAGGGGCAAAAAGTACGGTAGGGACTGATAAGAGAAGGAGGGAAAATTTAAAATGTCACCAAAAATGCTCATCAAACCAGCCAGTTCAGAACTCAGAAATGGAGGGCTTTCCCCCCCTCCTATTTTATGCACCAGCTGCAAGTTATATCAAACACTTGAGAGGGCTTTTGGGAGGTGGCTAAAAAACCCCAGAATTCTAGTTGGGGCAATTCTGGCAGAATTCTGGGTGTTGACATTCCAAAACACATGGAAATCTCATCTCTAATCTCTTGCACCAATGATCCTCTCCCAGAAAGGTCAGCTTCAGAAGAGAGATTTGGGGTTACTCAACCCTCTTCTGTATCAAGAGATCATCTTGTGGCCATCCGTTTTTGGCCGACCGGGATCTAGAAGGCTGCAGAATTCTGGCAGCAGAATTCTGAAGTCCGTGTAAGGATCTTGAAGTCTAAACGCAGAAAGAATCCAATCCGATCTGAGCAGCACAGCCTTTTCTTAAGAGCCCAGATACGGCATCCTAGTGAATCTTTTTTTCCCCTTCCTTTTCTCCCAGCGTTTGTGAAGCATATCATGGCAAGCTGAACCCCAGGTAAGTGAACCATTTCTTATGGGAGAGCTGTTTCTGGGTGGGAGATCTTTGGCAGACCAACCCACTTCATTTGTTTGTTCATTTCTTCACACATCCATCCGTTAGTTAGTTAGTTAGTTTATCTCTATCTATCTATCTATCTATCTATCTATCTATCTATCTATCTATCTATCTATCTATCTATCTATCTATCTATCTATCTATCTATCTATCTATCTATCTATCTCATAGATTTGTATGCCACCCCATTAGTGCAACACGCTATACTGGGCGACCAACAACCAAACAGTAACAGCAATAAATCGAAAGTAACAATAGTCAATAAATCCGCAGTAAAAGAGCGGCCCAAGACAATGGTGCCACACATGTTGAGCCCACATGTTCGGGCGGGGAGGGCACGTGGCAAATTCATGTCAGGTTGCCCTCAGTGACCCCTGTGAAAAGTGGCATCTTCAGCAGCCTCCTAAATGGGAGCAGGGAGGGGACCGGGCTCAGCTCGACCAGGAGCTGATTCCAAAGACCAGGTGATGCTACCGAGAAGGTCCGGCTTGTAGTTGATTTTTTTCCTGGCCTCCTGCAGTATGGCAACCCGGAGAGGCATTGCGTGGAAGGATCTCTTGATGCAACTTGATGTTCTTGGAATAAAGCTCTCTGGTTCATGGGGTCCCAGCCTGTAAAGGGCTTAAAATATCTATGTGTTGACAATTAGCAGATTGCAAAATAAACTGACTGCACTGAAGTTCAGGGAATCTCTGTGTAGGGTCTCCGTTGTTAATCCAAAATGAAGAGACTTTTTTGGGTCGTAAGGGAAAGATCAGGCCTTCTCAGAAAGAAAGGCAAGTGGGGTCATTGGCCTTGAGAGTGTGCAAGTTACAGTGAATCCGGAAGTTGGAAAAAGTTCATGCCTTGTTAGTATTGTGAGAAGTTCAGATTGAAATCTTAGAAAAACTGGGGTTGGGGTCAGACGGAACATCCTAGCACACTTAGAATGAATCCATCTGGAGCAGGGGGTGGTGGTGGTGATTGACGTACATAGATCTGGGGGGAGCACACAAATCCACTCCTGAACCTCAGAGGTCTCCTATCCTCCTGCTGTCCCCCAAATGTATTTTAGGGTGCATGGGGACTGCAGCAAGAAGATTGACCCTCCTCCTTCTGCTCACGAGAGCACCCCATGGGATTCTGGCTAATGGAATGTTTTAGGCATTCCTAATGTAAATCCACCTGAATGGATAGCTTAGCGGTTTAGATCTCTGGCTTTGGAGCAGGAGATTGTGAGTTTGAATCCCCACAGGGCCTCCTGGGAGAAGAATCAGGGTATCTCCAGAAAAAGAGAATTCGGAACCACTTCTGAGCATAGTGTACCAGGAAAACCTTGAAAAAGGATCAGCGTAAGTCAGAATTGACTTGATGGCATGCCAGCATTATTAATTTAAATCCTATTGATTTCATTGGGTTTGTTTTGAGGAACTATTGTTTCAACTCTATGTGTCCTTGAATGTTTAGGAGCATGTGTTCTAAGCCTAAGGAAACCTTTGTGAGGAAAGACCTCTTGGCTTATAGTAGGTTCTTTTTTTGGGGGGGGGTGTCTTTAATTTTTGTGCTTCTTGCACACTGCTACTTTTATTGGGTTGAAAATTTCTTGGGTGATTTGACAGATACAGGGTGAAAGAAAGGTTAAGCGAAAGAGGGGAAGACACACACACACACACACACAATGAAACTTTCTTGAAATTGTTTGAATGCCACAATTCTCCATTCTGGGAGTTCTATCTCCCTTAGAGACATCTGATTCTGATGCACTTGGGAGAAAGATCTAAACAGGAAGGCTCTGAGGATTAGCTAAAGCCAAGCTCCACTCAAGCTTCCTGTTTCTGCCCATGTACTAGGTAGGAACTTTTTTTCCTGAGCTTGGGTAGAGTGTGACCTAGCTAAATCTCAAAGTCTTCCAGTCGAGGACTTTCCCCCAGGTGCATCACATTCAGGAGTTTATCAGGTGTATGTAGTGAAGCTAGAACTCCCAAAGTTGAGAATCATGATCCTTGTAGTCCAGAAGATGGAAAAGAAATCTCAGCTTTAGTGCCCAGTAGGATTCTTTGCTGATCCGACATGGGAATCCCTGGGGGCCTCCCACTCAGGTCACAACGATGTCTAATCCCGGATCACTTCCAAAATTGGCCTCACTAGTTGATTCCAGAGTTTGGAGTCTCCAAGGGTTCCTAACCTTGAGCCACCCGAGTGTTCTTGGACTGCAATTCCCAGAAGCCTTCACCACCACCCAGCTGTGTTCCCCAGGTTTTCTGGGAAATGAAGAACACCTGGCTTACCACTATCCTCTGTGCCATCATCTCTTGATCCCCACGCCTTCTCCAGCCAAAGCCTCACCACTGCATACTGGTTTTGCCTGTTTTTTTTTTTAAATCATGGTCACGGAAGGGAACGTTTGTCTTCCTTTCCTGGAAGAAAAGAAGAAAAACAAGAAGACCGCCAACATATGTGCCGCCCACTCGGGGTCTGTGCTGGTTATTCTCCCCCAACCCCCTGGCTCTTGGGAAAAGTCTGACCTACGAACCAACCGCTCCATCTGTTTTGCAAGTGAAAATGTTAAAAGGGGTGGCGTGTCTTAGATAAACCAGGGGAAACCATCCAAACAGTCCTCGATCAGTTCCTGTTTTCCCCCTTGCTCTGGTTTATTTATCTGTTCTTCCTGCCTGATCTTGTTTGTTTAGGGAGATGCAGAATTATCACAGCTTGTGTGGCTGCAGGCCTGGGGGAACAGTGGCTTTTGCTTGTCCTGTCTGTTCACCAAAGCCCCAGGGAGTAAGTAAGCGAGAGAGGGGAAGAGATGGCCCCGCTGCCAGAGCTTTTTTTTTTTGCTTCAGTGATCTCCAATCCGCTGCCCAAATACAAGCTGACTTTCAGCAACAGAAGGTCCCTGCTCCTGGCGTCCACCGCTACCCGATTTGGTCCTAACACATTTCAACTTCTTTCTGATCTTTAAGGAAGCTCACGGGGTGCCCAAGGGTGGGTCAGCGGCTGAGCAGGGAAACGAACTGCTCTGAACGGCTGAACCACCAGTCCGTGCCTTTAATCTATTATTTATTTATTTAGAATTTTTCTATGCCACGTTTCTTCCCCAAAGTACCCAAGGGGGCTTACATTACTAAAACAATATTTTAAAACAGCCGATCTCTGTTGTTGTTGTTTAGTCACTAAGTCGTGTCTGATTCTTCGTGAACCCATGGACCAGAGCACGCCAGGCCCTCCTATCTTCCACGGCCTCCAGGAGTTGTGTCAGGTTCATGTTGGTCGCTTTGATGACCCTGTCCAGCCATCTCATCCTCGGTCGTCCCCTTCTCCTCTTGCCTTCACACTTTCCCAACATGAAGGTCTTTTCCAGGGAGTCTTCTCTTCTCATGAGATGGCCAAAGTACTGGAGCCTCAACTTCAGGATCTGTCCTTCCAGTGAGCACTCAGGGTTGATTTCCTTTAGAATGGATAGGTTTGTTCTCCTTGCAGTCCAGGGGAATCTCAAGAGCCTCCTCCAGCACCACAATTCAAAAGCATCAATTCTTCGGCAGTCAGCCTTCTTTATGGTCCAGCTCTCACTTCTATACATCACTACTGGAAAAAAACCATAGCTTTGACTATGCGGACCTTTGTCGGCAAGGTGATGTCTCTGCTTTTTAAGATGCTGTCTAGGTTTGTCATCGCTTTCCTCCCAAGAAGCAGGCATCTTTTAATTTCGTGGCTGCTGTCCCCATCTGCAGTGATCCTGGAGCCCAAGAAAGTAAAATCTGTCACTGCCTCCATCTCTTCCCCTTCTATTTCCCAGGAGGTGATGGGACCAGTGGCCATGATCTTAGTTTTTTTGCTGTTGAGCTTCAGACCATTTTTGGCACTCTCCTCCTTCACCCTCATTAAGAGGTTCCTTAATTCCTCCCCACTTTCTGCCATCAGAGGGGTATCCTCTGTTACACGTCAGAATAGTTAAGCGCAGTGTCTTGTATGCTCGAGTCCACCCCCATGCTTCCAGGAAGGGCCTAAGATGGAGAGACACCTCCTCCACAGGTTGCCTCCAGCAATTCTTGGTGATGCTTTCTCTCCATATGGAGGATACATTTAGCTGTCGAGATAAAAGCCGCTTCTTTTAGGCCCCTTGGCCGACTCTCGAGAAGTGACTCCTGCCCGTCTGGGTTGGGCCACTCCAGGAGGTCTTAGTCTTAAAAGAAAAAAGTCTTCTTCTCTGCCATGGGTCCTAGAGTGACAGCTATTTCTCCCCCCTTAACAGACTTTGTCCAGCGATGTTGGCAAATCCTTGGTCCCAAGTCCCGAGTTCGAATTCCTGTTAGAAACAAAGGGTGTGTTCTGAGTCCTGATTTGAGTCCAAGTCATTGAAAAAAACAACCGCCCCAATGACGCCTGAGTCAAGTGTGACTTTAGTCTGTCTTGAAACCGAGTCCTGTGACTTTAGTCCCGATCTATGTTCTTGCCCCACGTTCCTGATACACAACACAAAACTCCAGATGTGGATCAATGATCCATGGGGAAACACATTGAAAAAATGGCCCCTTCTTCAATACCCTGGATCTCAGGAAGTCACTTTCTCCCCAAGATGCAAATCACATCCCCATCCATCCTCGTACCTGTCTTGTGGAGCGCATGTCGTTTCTTCCATCCCTGGCCCACACACGGACTCTTTCCCCTAGTGGCTTTCTTGCGCTGGTTACGAGGGCTTGATAATATAGACAAATATAGACAAATATAATTTGTCACATCCGCTGTTGTTTATTTTTCAACCCCCCCACTTGCGGGGGGGGGGTCAAGTCCTCGCCTGGCTTCTGGCCCGTTCTTGGTGGCCGCATTCCAGTTTCCCCCGCCGGCCAGCTCCGGCCTCACGTGGCTTCCGTGGAGAAAGAAGAAGCAAGCCTCAGGCGTTGCTGAGCTGTGCGTTTGTGTGTTTGAGATGGACTCATTGAGCTTCCTTGGTTTTTTTTTTTAAAACAACCCTGTATTTATTTATATCTGTTTTGGTTGGCTCCTAAGACTTAAATCAGCCTTTTCTTATCTTGCAACAACATTTGAGAAGGGAACCGGCTCACTTAATTTCGAGTCCCGAGATCTTCCTGGCCTCCTTTGATAGAATCGGAGAGTCGAGCCGGGATGATACGGAGAACAAAAGCTAAACCTTTTTGTGGTCTGGAAAAATCTGGTGTAGGTCAGCGGGGCCAAATGAAAAGCCGGTCAAGGTGGAATGGCAAGGGGGTGATTCTCCTCCGCGGTTCCATGATCAAATGGATCCGTCCATGGAGATATATGCGGCAGCCCTCTGATGGTTTCAGTTTCTCACATTGTATCGGTGTGCTCATGAGATCTAGAAACTTGCTTTTCCTTTTTGAGAAATGACTATTATCAAGGAAAACGGAGGGAGGGAAAGCTTGAGACAGGGCAGCCACTGCGTTAGTCCTCCTCATCCTTTGCAGAGGGGACTATTCAAACCTTTGTCCACTTTTTTTTTTTGCTTTTGCTTTCTCTGGGTGCTGGCATGGGTGCTTTTTATTGTTTACTTCTTGTCTAAATCAATGGCAGGGCTTTTCGGCTGAAGCAATTCCTTCCTGAATCATGCTTCTAACCTCTCACGTTCTGCTTTTAGGGTATGAGGATCGCAGCCGGGAGTGGAGTTTGGATTTCCTCGGAGGCGCAGGAATGTCTTTGCTGTTTCCCATCAGGATTTAGGCTATTTAACCTCCCCCCCCCATCTTGCTTCCTCTCTCCTGGACCTCTGTGCCTTGGGCCCTGTGGCTCCGACCGGCTCTCTCATCTCTACCTCCTCCCCCCCCCTTCAGGACCTCAGGCTCCATCATCCCTTCCCCTCCAGAGCTAGCCAGGGGCTGGAACAATGACTCTGGGGATGTCAGAGGTGTCACTTTGTGGACTGCAAATCCCACAATCCCCTCCACCAGCCAGCCAGCCACTTGGGGGATTCTGGGAGCTGTCCTCCAAACAAACTATGGCCAGCTACTCCATCCATTTGCTCTCCGTCCAGCCCATTCGCAAGGCAGGCTTAGACACCTAGCCTGCTTTCTCCACAGCGGTACCCCGTGTCAGGAACAGCCATTTAGCTGTTCAGAAAAGCCTTCTCCTGAGCTTGGGGGGCAGGAGAGGGTTCCAGCCCCATCTACGCTCCTCTACTTTTCACAGGGCTCTTGGAAAGTCTTTGGTACCGAGTCCCGAGTTCGAATCCCTAATAAAAACAAGCTTTTCCCCCACAGAAAAAAAGGGAGAGGTGGGTGGGTTCTGAGAGAGGAGTGAAATCAGAACCATTGAAAACCAACCAACCAACCCTGAGTTCAATTTATGAGTCGATTCATCAGTTCTACTTAAGTCCAACTTGACAGTGTTTTCTCCTCCCTGGCTTTCCATGGGTACAGAAGGTGGCTGCTATTTTCAAGAGTTCCAGCGGGACCCCGGGATGCATGCAGCCCCTCCATTGTGCTCCTCGGTGGCCGAGCCAAGAGCGAGCGAGAAAAAAAAAGACATCCAAAAAACCAGAGATTCAGGTTGAAGAGCGCTATTCATTCTGCGCAGACAAGACGAGACCTCTGGAATTACCCCCCTCTTCATTGTAATGTTTCCAATTAAATGAATCCTTTTTCTGTGAAAATCTTTAGGCATCATTTTGCAGCCTTGCCTTGTGTGTGTCTGTCTCTCCCCATGCGTTTGATTGTTGACGTGAATGGCTCTATTAAAGATGGTTCTGAATGGAAAAAATTACAAGGTGGATAAGATTGTCTCACTTGTGAGTAGAGTTGGATGTTTCCTGAACTTGGAACAGAACGGAGCCCCCGCCAACATGAGCTTCTGGGACAACTCAAGTTTTCTAAGGGGGGGGTCTGCATATCCAGTCCCCCCCCCCCGTGGCTCTCTCCTGAGCATTATCCTGGGAGTCACATTGCAAATTAAGAAAAATGTGCATTTCCTACAAAAGGGTTTCCCCTTTAGACATGCAGGTCCCTCAATGCACCATCAAATTTGGAAAGGAAACCTGGGTTGACCGCACAATGAACAATCTCAAAAGAAAGAAAGCTGATTTCTGAAATGCAGACTCGAGCGAATACAGTACATACGACAACACCACATCTTTCATCACTTCGGGAGCTCCACTTTTAACAACGGGCTAACTGTGTCCCTGAGTCTCCACCTTGATTTGGGTCCAATTTTTTTGCCCCATTCTTATGGATTTCCATTTGATCCTATGTCCAGCTGCATGTTAGGCCTTGAAGAGTCTGGATGCAGATTTCATATGGGGAAAAAAAAGGCAGACAACTCCAAACCCTTCCTTAAGAATTGTCCATTCTTCTCAGCTCCCGGGAGCTGTACAGTTCTGTAGCCCTATCTGCACTCTTCACACGCACTGTTCAGTCTTATCTACATCTTCAGAACTTTGCAGTCTAACAACTTGAAAGAATCCTGATTTATGACCACAAGCTGATTCTGGAGATGAGGACAAGGGCCGTCCTCCACTTCCGGCGTGACATTTCCAGCTACTGTATTTAGAGTTCCTTTGTAGAAGACAGGCTAGGCATGCATGTTCTCCCTTCCATCTTGGCTGTGTTTTATGACATGACACCTGTTCAGCTTTAAATGAAGAGAATTGCCGTTGCCCCAAGGACCTTCTGAGAAGCATTCAAAGGCCAGACTCAAGGCTGCCTCCCAGCTGCTAGGCCATACAGGTGGCCGAAAGACCGGGGCAGGAACACTGGAGGTCATTCAAACGGTACCGAGCGACCAGCGTCTGCTTCTCCCCAAACAAAGCCCTTTGCCGAGCCAACTCTTCGGCAGAAGGAATCTCATTAGTATTCTTTAAAAATAAACGCCAGCCTGTTGTTGATGGGAACGAGACACCATTTTTGGACATCTCTCCGCTTCCAGAGAGTGAAGACAGTTAAACGGGGTCAGCGTCAAACCGATTGCTGGGGATTAGCCTAGGTTCTCAAATGTCGAAATGGCAGACATGATTGAGACCTAGACCCCTCTCCCATCACAACGGGATGGCGTTCTTGATGGCTTTTTTGGGTCAACTTGTATTTGGTCTAGTGTCAGACTCTTGTGGTTACCTCCATACCTTTGATATGGAGGCAGTGACAGATTTTACTTTCTTGGGCTCCAGGATCACTGCAGATGGTGACAGCAGCCATGAAATTAAAAGACGCCTGCTTCTTGGGAGGAAAGCGATGACAAACCCAGACAGCATCTTAAAAAGCAGAGACCTCACCTTGCCGACAAAGGTCCGCAGAGTCAAAGCTATGGTTTTCCCAGTAGCGATGTATGGAAGTGAGAGCTGGACCATGAAGAAGGCTGACAGCCGAAGAATTGATGCTTTTGAATTGTGGTGCTGGAAGAGACTCTTGAGAGTCCCCAGGACTGCAAGCAGAACAAATCCATTCATTCTGAAGGGAATCAACACTGAGTGCTCCCTGGAAAGACAGATCCTGAAGCTGAGGCTCCAATCCTTTGGCCATCTCATGAGAAGAGAAGACTCCCTGAAAAAGCCCCTAATGTTGGGAAAGTGTGAGGGTAAGAGGAGAAGGGGACGACAGAGGATGAGTTGGTTGGACAGGGTCATCGAAGTGACCAACATGACTCTGACCTAACTCTGGGTGGCAGTGGAAGACAGGAGGGCCTGGCGTGCTCTGGTCCGTGGGGTCACCAAGAGTCGGACACAATGACTAAACAAGAAAAGGTCCAGGGCTACCTGCGCATCACAAGACCTCATAGGAGGGGTAGTTCAATGGGAGGCATAACTCGATGAACAGCTTCTGGTAGCTGAAGTCCAAAACCAGTAACATTTCCAATGCTCAGGTACAGGGCTACCTGGGCATCACAAGACCTCATGGGAGGGGTAGTTCAATGGGAGGCACCCTATATAGGTTCATAATCCTCTGGAGAACTTGATGAACAGTTTCTGGTAACTGAATTCCAAAACCAGTAACATTTCCAATGCTCAGTCTAACTATAAATTCCTGGAAAGAAAAGACACAAGGAGTTTAGGTTCTGAGGTTATGAAAATAGCTCTTGAGAAGGTTTATGGGACACATCGTGAATGTTCCCATCTGTTGCTTTGGCATTGGTTTCTCAGCTGGCTTTCCTCCCAATCCGTAAATGACTAAAAGAGGCCCTGGAGAAATGGTCGGTACGGGTTGTTTTTTTCTCCTTCTTTTGGGCACCAGTCAAGTGCGAAGTCGCCCCTCAAGAGTAAGTGCCGCGCCCTCCTCGGATGCCCACCTTGGTCCACGTTTGCTATGCAAGGACGTTGCACACTCGTGTCATAATCACACCTAGGAACTCACCATTGTGTCATAACCACACCGTCAGCAGTAGCTGAAAATGCTCTAAAACAAGCTGGACATGAAATGCCATTCCAAAATACTGAGGTACTGGACAACACCAGCTATCATTATGTTAGACTGCACAGGGAAGCCATTGAAATCCATGCTACTGGAAAAACCATAGCTTTGACTCTGCGGACCTTTGTCGGCAAGGTGAGGTCTCTACTTTTTAAGATGCTGTCTGGGTTTGTCATCACTTACCTCCCACAACAAAAGTTCCACGTAAATAATACCTTGAGGTATTATTTGCCTCATGTATAGTAACACAATACTTGAAGTAAATAATAAGAGTTGGATTTCACACAAACAAGAGGAGCTTATTTGGGAGGAATAGGTAAAGGGGGAAGTAGTTTATTAGATATTTAATCTAGAGAGAAAGAAAATTCTCCTCTTCTTTCTTTTAGTATATTCCCATACACTTTGCGAATATATTCCCATACACTTCACTCCAGACGTCTCCCCTGTATCGAAACCCAAGATGAACTGCTCCCATAGCTTCTACATTTACGGGATCTCTCACTGGACTCCTCCATTCTGTCCATCCAAGAACAGACCCTCTGACCGACTGCCATTTCATGTAACTGCCCTTCACATCCCAACCCGTCCAACCAATCAGCTTTCAGCTCTTCACCCAACGCTCCATCCCCTTTCTGCCAGTCATTCGAGCACCCGGCACTGTGCATGCATGCCCATCATGCGCTCACAGTGATGCACCAAACAAACCTATTATGCACACACACTCGTCTGAAGAGAACAGGTGGAATTGTCACACAGACCTACACCCCCAAACACCCCCAAAACCATAAGGAACTGTTGAACCCTATTGCCCGTGAATTCTGAGAGGCCTGGAAGTTTTCCGGGACACTGAAGACGCTGTGGATGGTGGCCTTTCAGTTGACCCTGGCCCTCAGGGATCCAGGGTCAGGCTGAACCTCCGAAGAAAGGGGCTTAGTGCCTGAGTTTGAAGGCTGGGCATCCTTCCAGCCCACATGAAGGTCACAGGAGGAAGGTGTGACCCTGGAGGTAAGCCCCCCAGACAAAGTGAGTGGCTGTGGGGAAGGACTCTCTGGGAGAGGACACTTCCTCAGAATTTGGGGAAGCCCTTCCTGCCAGGCCATCAGTGGTCAAATCCTGTAGATATGTCCTTCTACCAGTTGAACCAAAGCCCACGGCTGAGACGTCAATGGAGTCCACCAGCTCTGAGTTATAAACCTGCGCCAGCCTCTGCAGATTTGAAGGAGGCAATGGCTGGAATCCAGTATCACGTGGCAGCCACTGTAGGCCCATTGAATCAATGGGTATCCAGTGAGCCAACATCTATGTACATTCCACTGATTCGAAGGGCTCAATTCTGTTCTGGCTTGCTATTAGATTTCAGCCAATGTCTGTCTTAGCGCCAGACTTTGCCTGTCGTCTACCTTGGTGCCTTTCTGCGAACTCTCTGGCTAGGGAGGACCTCGTTGTTTGGTGCTGCCAACGGCTGCAGCTGCATCACTCAGTTTAGGCCCCTGAGGACCTTCTAGATGGGTCTTGCATCCCCTTTTAGACCCACACCTGAGCAGGTCAATCCTCTGAGTGGGACCTAAGAATTAAAGAGTTTGGAGTCTAGGAATTATAAGTTCTCTGGATTTGCAAAACCTCTCCTCCTTTAGTCGCTCTTCCCACAGCATTCCTCATTTCAATTTACTGCATAGGAGAGTCATTATGTCATTTTGTTCCTTTTTAAAACAAAGGTTTACATTGCAACGGGTCATTAAATCTTTTTCTCCTGCTTCATAGAGCGATAATCGGCTGCAAATCAAAGTATACAAAGGACTTGTTTCCCTTTCAAATAATAATAAGAGAGCCTTCTTTGAAAAATATTTCCACTACCAACTTGTAATGACAATGCTAATAAACAGTGCAAGAGAAGACATAACACTTTCACTGGTTTATATCTGTCAACGCTCTCCAAAGAAAACAAGCTTTCTTTCCCTACTTGACTGCCTTTCCGCTAATTATTCAGTAGAAGAGTATTTTACTACTCTGAAACAGTCCTATTTAGACCTGAACTACAGACTTCACTATATATGGGTGGGACTACACTGAAAAGATTTGCTTTGATTTGGATTTGCCTGTACAGTATTGTGTTTGAAATTGCAGTTAGTGCTCACACATGAGCTGCAGAATTATTTGGTTCATACTGAATGCCATGCAATTCATGCTAGATGCAATCACAGCCCTCCACTTCTTTCCTGCCTTCCTTCCTCTGGTCCCACCTCTGCTGATCCTTCATTCCTCTGGTCCTG